ATTGATGTCTCACCCTTGCTAAAGTTTCTCCTGGGGAACATTTATACCTGAAGAGTTAGACTTGCAATACTTGTCCCTGGTGAAGTAATCAAGCAACCACCTAGGGGGTACCCTTAAGGGATCTCAGTGCAGTGTTTACAGAGGCGCTTCCACTAACAAAGTGTTAATTTATGAAGTCATCATTAGTTGTGCATATTGCGTTTTGGCAAAAGCAAACACATTTGTACTTACTTTTATATTGGGATTACTCTAGGGCAGATGAAAAGATTTTCTATTTTCTATAATCACAAGACCGTTGGGGTCACTGTGTTCATAGCCTCCTCAACTTGAACAGTGTTTTCTTCTTCTTAAGTCCCCTAGGGGTTTATTCTCTGCTTATTTTGCATTAGCTGTTGCCTTCTATAACTTGTTTATGTCTTTCACGGAAGGTAAATGCTCTGAGAACAGAAGGAATGTCAGTTTCATCTTGATGTCCTCCTTGGAGATCTGTATATCCAGGTAGACACTTCCTGTTTAGTTAAGACTTGCTGGATAATTACCTACGTGCTGATAATCAGTCAGTGCATGAAATGGACTGTTACTATAGACTACTTACATAAAATGTGTGCATGATTTTGATACATATTTATTTATTAGTTTATATAATACTCTCCTAGCACATTAAAAACTAGACAGTAAAAAGCAAGAAAAGGTATGACCTTCGCAGTATTTCAAAGGCAATAAGTCTCAGTCTCCTGGCCCTGTGCTTTGGCTCTAAGCCTATTTGTGAGGCAAAGCACAGTAATCCATGGGCTCAGTTTCTTTCAGCAGTTCCTATGTGTGTCTATGTCAATATTCCTACTTTCTTTAGCTTCGTGTGTTATGGATGGTTACTCATATTTCCAGATTACCAAGAAATTTCCAAAATTCATATAAGAGTAAGACGGTGCCTAGGGTGTTGTGACTGGGATGTGTTATATGAGTGCAGTTAAATTCTCATGAGGTGACTTTCTAGGCAAGCTCTGAACACATAGAGGGGCCAAACCTAAAGGAACTTTGTACTTCTTGTGAAAACCAGGGTGCAGCTGTGTCAGCCACAACTACCTCAGAGTGAAGGTGTCCAAAAGAGAGAAACGGCCTTGAGATGCCCTGTGTATGGTGGACAAGAGCAGAGCAAGCAGAACCAGGAGACCAGACCTAGAGTAGGATAGGATGGAGCTGTGAGGCTTCTTTCCACACTGGAGAGGGCTCAAACATCAAAGAAGGGGAAAAACTGAAATATAAACAGCTTGAGATGTACTGGAAGAGGAAAACTAGCCAGGGGAGATTATTTAAACCACGGCCATCTTGAAGTTCAAAGCTACTCTTTAAAGGAAAGTCAGAGTTCACACCTCCAAATAATATGTAATTATGTCTAGATGTAATGACCTAGGGGAATGGAATCAACGTGAGACAATGAAAAAATGGAAACAAAGTCTTTGTAGATAGGGAGGGTGGAGGGTTTGAAGGGAGGGCAGGGGAATGGGGAAAAATAAGAACCAAGATGGATTATGTAAAGGTGTGAAGTTCCAACAATGACTGTCATTATATTGTATACCTTTAATGTACAAATAAAATTAATTTAAAAATTACAATAATTCAAGTTATTTAATTATCATATATTTTTTTCTAAACAGATAAGGGAGATAGGCAAACGTTTATGTACCAGTTGCCCCAAACATGCAAAGAATAAACGAAAGCACTTGACAAGTTTGACATGGTTTCAATTTGGTTCTGAATATGCTTTTCCGCCTTCTTGTGTGTTTGAAATGGGTAAAACACTGTATGGTGATATTATAATGATGATATCTTAGATTATGCAGCACTTAGTCATGAAGCCACACTGCAGCCAAATATTCATTAAAGACATTAGTTATAAGAAACTATGTCTTAAAATGTGAAAATGAATGTTTTTTCACTAAAATAATAAGTTATGTTTGTTATAGCATTTTGAATATGAATCATAAAACTTTGAATTAAATTTCCCACCACTCTTGCATGCTGCCTGCCTATGAAACCAGCACCACAGATGATGCCAAGACCTGCTGTCAGATCAAGCAGTAGCCAGGGCATTTTGAATCATGGCTGCTGAGGTCTCTGATGGCTGAACTCTGGGAAAAAGTTCCTTCTTTGGCCTGGAAATAGCAGAGCAAACTGTGAATCCTTTGCAGAGAAACAGTTTTCACCTTTTCAGGGTAAAATGCAGAGTCTTGTTCTTCTCCAGTGACACACTCAAAGCATACTTTCAATTGTCCTGATGAAAATACTAATATTACCAGCAACCAAGCTTTCTTGGTCCAAGATTATACTGGCTCCAATTTTAAAGGATTTTCATTTTTTAACACTAGCATAATTTTTCAAGTTACTTAACTTGGCTTTTTACTCTTGCTTCTCAGAGTAGAAATGGCTAAAAGCTGCTAGCAATGCCCATACCAAATTCTCAACAATGGGCTGCTTCGAAATCTCTACTATCAGATTAATTAGTAGGCAACTTTTATTCTTATTCTAAAGTCTGAAAAATGTAGGCAGATTATCCACCAAAGCATAACACACAAGGCTTGACATTCAACTGCCAATGGAGATTTCTCCTAACTGAAAACTCCTGAGCCTGCTCTTTATGGTCTGGATTTTTATCAGCATTCTTATCTCCTGAGCTCCAAAAAGGATCTTCCATTAAGCATGGCTAACAGCATTCTATAACTAACATCTGCAAACCATTTCAAAAGCCTCCCACAAGCCAGTTCCAAAGGCTTCTTAACCACATATAAAGTAATCATAGCAAGGACATCACATCTCTGCTAACAAAATCTGTCTCTGGCACTTTCCTCATCACTAAAACAATGTACAAGTGTGGTAGAAGTGTCTGGCAGAGAAAAGCTACTAGAGTCATTGCAGCCAAAAAGCAGAGAAGTGAGAAGCCCAGAAGGGAGCTTCAGCCTTCCAGGGCACATCTCCAGAGACCCCTCTCTTCCAACCAGACCCCAACACCAAAAGCAAATAAACTGTGGTGCACACTCAGTTCAATCCTCTTGTGAAAGCCCTACCTATGAGAGGGTGAGGACCTTGAGGGATATGTAGATTTTATACAACAACATAAACCATGATTTTGTTTATATGAAATGTAAATTTAGCAAGAAAATACTGACCTAACTCTATATATGGAAAAGAAACATTAAATTTATATTAACTTTTATTATAGAAGATGGGGAAAAAAGAATCAGGCAGGGAGGGATCAGACTTATAATATGTGACTGTGTGAAATAAGAGAAAGAAATAATGTCGTGAAAAGACTTATAAAGGATTACTTGTGAGTACAAAAGGGGTCTTTCAACTTAGTTCTTTCTTTGGTGAAAATAGATCATTGTAAAATCTAATAAGTTAAACTTTAAAACTAATTTCAAAATTACACAACAATTTAATTTCAAGGGGAAATTCAAGAAAAATTACAATGAAATATAAATCATTTTAAATATGTAAAACTGATGATCTTCAATCTTTCAAAAGATATAAACATAAAAACAAAATGGAAACATATGTTCATATAGAAATATATAACAAAATAAAGTTTATATCTTTCAATGAATACAAAATATATCACAATTATAAAAAAGACCAGTCACAGGATGTGGATTTGTCACGAGAGATTTGAAAAGCAATAAACAAAAATATTACTTACTAATAGATTTCACAGATACACATAAATACCCATACAAATATATAGCTAAAACATCCCATTTACTGTATTTATTTAACAGTACAATGAAAGAGTGGAGGAGAGGCTGCCCACTGACAGAAAGTCATTCTCATACCAAGAAAACACAAAGGCATTCTGTGGTAAAGTGGGCATTTTCATCAAAAATCACATGAAGGAGAGCGCCACTGGATCACAAGTACCATTTGAATGGTATACCTTAGAGTAATACACCAAAAAAGTTTTCATTGCTATATAATTTGAAAAGGAAAAAAAAAAATCACTCGTCAATTTTGACAAGTTTTTGGAGTGCTACAAACATCTCATGAAGTGTCATTATGATATGATTTAGAACCGTTTTGCATGTTATGGGTGAGAGTACGTGTTCTTTATTGACTCTATAGGGCAATGAAAGGGCTCTGGTGTTGCCTTTGAATTTGTATGCTTTTTTGATAATACTCATGGACGTAACCCTGTGAATGCTGAGTATGCCCTGTATAATGATCCAGATGTGACAGTCTCAAATGTGTATTGTGAAAGACCATCAATAATTAATGGAAGCGATCTGTTAATTTGCAATGAGTTGTAGTCAGGGTTTTGGCAAGGGAATACATTTGCTACAGGACACATAGTTTCTAAGATCATTTTATGATAATTACCCACAAGGTCAAATGCAAAGGAGTGCAAGAGATTAGCTGCATACTAGGATCTCAAAGAATCCAGCCAAGGGCCTGGATCCCAGAAGTTTTCCACACAAGTCCAGCTAAAGGCTTAGAGTCCAGGGCAGTGCCTCCTACGAGTCCAGCCAGTAGCCTGGAGCCCACAGCAACGTCCCATGTTTGTCTGTATTGAGGATCTGCACAGAAGGCACAAAGGCCAGTGGTGGAAGCCAGAAAATCTATGCTCATGAGATGCAGGATCTGTGTCACCAGGGGGATCCACAATGGAGCCAGGAAGTGATGCTCATGGTAAAGATCAGAGCTGCCCTGATGAAAGCAGCAGCCGTTCCCAGTGACAGTGAGGCCCCGAGCTCCTCCTCTTCCGATGAGAAGAGCCTAGTTTGCATCAGGAAAACCAAGCTTCTCCTAGAAAATCAGTAGCCCGCAATCTCCCCCTTCAGTTCTCTTTTTATGGCTGTTGACAACAATCCTTAGTTGGATCCTCCACACCCAGATCATGCTGGTTCAGTTCAGCTGGGTGTTACAAGTGGACCATTAGGTAATCCACTACACAATGCTCATTAAATGCTTAGATAAAATGGATGCTCTATATATTTGAGACCATATCTACCTTACTTAGCAGACAATTCCTTTTGGATAACTTTCCTTATTGCTCTTTTAACATCTTTGTTCCTCAGGCTATAGATGAGAGGGTTTAGCATTGGACTCACAAAAATATAAAACACAGCTACAATTTTACCTTGTTCCACGGATGCCTCAGAAGGAGGCCTCAGATACATGCAGAACAGAGATCCATAAAAGATGGTGACAGCCATCAGGTGGGACCCACAGGTGGAGAAGGCCTTGTGCCTGCCCTCAGCTGAGCGGATGCGCAGGATGGCTGCGAAGATGAACACGTAGGAGACAAGGATGATGCTGAGAGAGCAGGTGAGGTTGGACCCAGCCACCACAAACATGGCGGTCTCCTTGATGTAAGTGTCTGAGCAGGCGAGGACCAGGAGCGGGGGGTCGGCACAGTAGAAGTGGTTGATCTCATTGGGGCCACAGAAGGTCAGGCGAAGCATCAGGATGGTCTGGACCAAGCCATTGGCAAAGCCATAAATGTAAGTGGCAGCAACAAGAGAGACACAGACACATCTGGACATTTTGCTGCCATACAACAAGGGCTCGCAGATGGCCACATAGCGGTCATACGCCATCACTGTCAGCATATAATAATCTGTGATCCCCAGAGTAATAAAAAAGTGAAATTGGATAAAGCAGCCAATGAAAGTAATGGTTTTCCTCTTGGATAAGAAGTTCACCAGCATCTGAGGAGTGACAGTGGTGGCATAGCAGAGATCTACAAAGGCGAGGTGGCTGAGGAAGAAGTACATTGGGGTGTGGAGCTTTGAGTCACTTCTGATGAGGAGAATCATGGTCACGTTCCCCATAGCAGTGACAATGTAGATAACCAGGAAGACCACAAAAAGGACGGGCTGCAGCTCGGCTTGGTCTGTCAGTCCCAGCAGAATAAACTCGGTTACCGCAGTGTAGTTTTGCTTCATCTTTATGTTACCTGGCTTCGAGTAAGGCCTAAAGAAAAGAAAATCAAAATGCATCTGGTTTGTGTTATTTATTCATTGTTCCCCTTGTGTCTTACATTTTTTAGTCTCCCCTCATATTCATAAAAGTGGCTTAAACAGCAGCCAAATTAGCATATGATTAATAATTTAAGTGTCACAAACAGTACAGAGCTCCTTGCTTATATAAATGCAGTGGAAATTGAATTGACTGTTAGTTTTGAGGAAAGTCTTTTCATATTTGAAGAGTCTTTTAATTTTTTCAATTCTTCTTTGTATTTGCTTAGTTATCACAGCATATGGGTATAAGCATTGGTTTTCTTTGAAGTTGACATCCATACTTTTGGTTGCGAGGTCCAAAGCATGAACCAGGGGAATTTACCTATGTTTTTGCTCAGCTGAGGGAATTTAAGGAACTGAAACTAACATATGTGCATCCATATACAGGTAGGAACTTCTTTGTAACTTCTCAGAATCCCAAATCATTTTTTGCTGTTAACTAACTCTGTGTTTATTTTCCCCAGTCTAGTTCATATTAGGAGGTCCCAATATCATAACATCTTTGTTAACCTTTGAGACACTCGCAGCATGTTTCATTTGTACTCTTTGTGATTACTCAAGGAGACAAGTATTTCGTTTGGAGATAAGAAAAGTCAATCAGAAGTGTTTCTTTATATCATATATAATATAATATATATCATAAATTAGACTGTAAACATTGTATCAACAACATACATATAAACAGATATTTAAAATATTCTTGAGTTTGCAGTTTTCAACTGAAAATGAGATGTGTTGAAAAGTTCTAGTGGAAAGGGAGAGGCAATAAAGAAAATTGTTATCCATCCATTCTTGGACCATAATCTTTTGCTGTAACTGCATCTCATGAAAACTATTTCAAACTTTTTCAAAATTGCTATAATATAAACTTTTATAGAGATTCACCTTAAAACATAAAATCTAAGTTCTTTAGATTAGTGTACAGTAATAACCATGTTAACTATGTAACTGAGGTAGTACTTAAGATATGAAGTATAGTTCTAAACATTTAGGCAAAAAAATTCCATGAACATGGAGAACATGGAAAGTTAATATCCTCACCTGACAACAAATACCATTATAATGATGTAACATTGATTCTTTCTTGATAAGTGAAACATAATAAATATAATATAATATTTATTTTTTTTATTAATGCAGGGAGAGGAAACCTGGTTAATTATTGAGTGAAACAGTTACTGGGAGCTGAATTCCCACTTCCTAGGCAGATCTTCTACTCTCTCCAGTTTTAATTTGCATAACCTGGATAAATTATTAATACTTTTGTGTCTCCTTGTGTCTGCAGTATGGTTAATAATAGAAACTGCTTCCCTGCAAGGGGACTACATGGAGGACATTTTTCAAATATCTCTGGCATATCATAAGCACTTAAAAATGCGCAGGCCTTGACCTGCAGCCAGAGACACAGACACAGAGGCACCCAGGTGAGTGCTTCCCTGACTCAACTGTAGTGCAGTGTTCACTCTGGTCTCGTTCCTTCTCCCTGTGGAAACTCCACCCCACCACACGGCTATGTATGAATTGATTGCTCAGAAAAGAACAGCAGATTTTAATAGGGACATCTGCTGCTGATTATGTTAGGATCCAGCTCAATTCACCTTCATTGTTCAACATGCGTATTTCTGGTCTCCAGAATTTAAAGGAAATATTGCTTGGCCTACCTGCGAGAGGAGTGTAATTTCACAGTGGCAACGTCTGTGGGATAGACAAGAAGGATTTATAGCATATTTGTCTTATAGGGAACAAATCTCTATGGTTCAATTATTTTCTGTAGAAATTTACTCACATGGTGAACTACTGCTACCTCCCTGTGCTTAAAATGCTAAACCCACTGGGGAAAGGGGCGTTGTTTCCTTCTCCCTGTCATCAGGGAGTCAAATCTCCAAAGAATGAGGAAGCAATGGATCTTATTATTTGGCTTTATGCTGAATTTCTTAATATTTTGCATGAGGGCAATGTTAGTTTTTATTTTTTACAAGCTGTAAAATAAAGTAGTGATGCCATAGTGAGGAAGACTTGGAATTTGGAAAACACTGGAATTTAGCTGTTCTTGATTAGTCACATACTAATTTTGAGATTTGTTTCTATCATTTTAATAGAAATAATACTTCATAACTATAAAAATATTGTGCATTTATAGATACCGAAGGTGCCCGGAGGATTCTCTCTACACCACTCTACTCACATCCATATATTTTGATTTTCTCTCCAACTATTTAAAACATTTTTTTTTCTATGTGCAGATGTGGCTCACACCAGTAGAACTCTTAGGATTTAGCTTTACAATGTTGTTGCTGACTGTGAAAAATTATTTCCAAGGCCATCGACAACGGATTATTCTAAGGCTGTTGAATAGATCCAAATCTTCAAACAGGAAATATAGTATCTTAAGTAAACAAGTATAACTTCTCAAACTTTTAAGATTTGACAGTAGTTTTGGTTTTTTACTGCTTAAAAATGTGAAAGACAGTTATAATATTATAGCAGAACTTTCACCTATTTAAATAAATCCAGTAAACAGAAAATCACTCCTAGAATAAAGCAATGAACAACATAGGAAATTGTTTTATTAAGTGCACCAATTTTTTAAGTGACAAATTTTTTGTTGAATTTTTGCATATTTATGGCAATCAGTGAATACATACTTTGCAGTTTGTAGTTTTACATTTTAAAAAATTGTTAAAACAACTAAAATATCTTTATTGATTGCATTCTCTGGATTGTCATATCAAGACATAATTACATAATTCATGGGCATGTGAACTCCAACTTTCCTTTTGAGAGTTGATTTGAACTTAGAACAGTTGATTGTTTAAATTATTTCTTGGCTGATTTTTCTCATTATATAAATTTCTAGCCATTTATAATCTCTTCTTCCATTTTTATAATTTAGAAATCATCTCATGGGCATGTAAGGGAGGATTAGTTTTGCATCCATTCTTTCGTGCTGCCCTCTGTCCTCTGTGTGCCACCGTCCTCCAACACAGCAAGTCTCCTCAAGGTCACCTCTGTCTCCTGGCCAGCTGTAGCTTGCTAAAATCTCTGGCTGAGCCAGATGGATTTTGGTTTTCTCAGGGAATATACCACCTTCAGACCTGGCTCTGTGTCCACTCAGAACTGGCCTAGGAAGGCAGCTGTGTAGGACTGAACTTCACAGTTGTAATACATCCCAGCTGTGAACCCTAGCTACTTTCATTGTATAACATTTGGACGTTTGTTGCACAACTGAGCATATAGCACCTCCCATGACATACAGGAGTTAAGGACGCAGTGGGGATTGTGACTCAAGTTGAAGTCCAAGCGGGAACTGTGTCAATAAGCTAAGTCTCAGGATAACTTTGACTTAGTCCCAAACAAGTTGGCTCAGGGCCAAAGCACAGGAGAGGGAGATTGGGAGGGCTGTTCTCTGAACAATCTTCGAAGGCCTTAAATTGTCTTTTGCCTTTCCTTCCCCTCTCATTAGTGTGCCCATGCTTAAATTGCATCCTCTGAGTTTCACATTTTCTCTGTGTCATAATCAGCTTTCTTTTTACATCAAGCATTAATGTTGACTAATGTTCAGGAAAGGAAGATTGTATTCCTGATATGGAAATTATAATATTATCATATGAGTATTACATGATAGTGTTATTGTGCATCTGTCCCAGAAATACTGGTGCCTTTCTGGTTTTAAATAAAAATGTGAAACAAGTATTATGTGAGTTGATATAGCGGAGACATCATAAGTATATCGTTGTACAAAATGGTCCATGCTCATGGTCTAAGCTTGAGTATGAATTAATAGCTAATGAGCAGCGTTATTAAATTACTCTTCCTTAAAATATACTGAACCCAAAGTGCCATGCAGATATCCATAGAGAATATCAGGATAAAAGTGACCCTGAGTCTATCTCATTTTATGTTGTCACATAAGACAGAACCGTTCTGTTTTATAACAAAATAATACTCCTTTGTAATTACATATAACATGTTTTTTTATTTGTTTATCCATCAGTAGGTATTTGAGTTGTTACCGTATTTCTGTTGTTGTTAATAATGTTGCAGTGAACATGAAAATTAAGATCTTAATCCTTTGGGATTAATGGAGACATAGAAAATGAATTTGCTGAATCATATGATGGTTTATTTTATTTTAAAAATTTTTTGAGGAATTTCTGTCCACTTTGCAGAGCCATGACACCACTCTAACTTTCCTATCGACCCCACAGAAAATGTTTCCATCTCTCCATGCATGTGTGAAGTTGGTATGCTCAAGTGTCAGCTGCCAATCTTATAATGAAAATCCAGTCATAGTGGAAAAATAACAGTAATGCAAATACAGGTCTGATCAACAGTCATCCACATTCTACCCTCTCCCAACTTCTACTCTCCCTCCCTTCTGTCTTCATTGCCTCTCATCCTGTCCCAGTGTCTTCACCTGGAGAATCAAAAGTATTAATAACAACTGAATGGATTTGCAGTCTTCAAGTCCACTTTTACTTTTGTTCTTTAGTCTTTCTCTAATCAGACTTTCCCTTTTCTCTCCATGGAAATTGCTCTTGTGAAAGTCACCATGAGTCTGTACATGGCTAAATGCAATAGTTAAAGTTCTGTCCTCGATTTTTTGATCTATCACTGATATTAGGCATCATTGATTTCTTAGTTTTCTGCACATCTTTTATTAGTGCATATTGATTATACCAATAATTGAATTTCATTGTGGCAGATTAAGACATGCATGTAACATGTTTTAATCACTGTTACACTTGCATCAGATCCCCTGTCCATCTCTCCCCTTCTAGTTTTGTAATTGAGGTTGAGTGGCTCAATGAACATATTTTGATCATATCCTTCTTGAACAGATGTCTTCTCTCTTATTCTAGGATGTGAGACTCTGTAAGTTTTTCTCCTACCACATGGGTTCCTCCTGCTTGATATTTTTATATCTCGTTTCTCCTTTACTTTTAATGGAGTAACTCAGAGCTCAGTGCTTTGGTAATATTTTTCTGTTTCATAGATTTGAACATATCAAATATTACAACTCCTCAATATACGTCACCAGTCCTGATTTCTTTTGAAAACTCAAAGGTCCACACTTCACTTGCCTTACTCATATTTTCAAACTCACAGGTATTAACAATTTAACATGACTACAGCCTTACACAACCCCTATACCTTTTAAAAACTGCATTCCCCAACTGAAGTCAAAGACAACTCTATACTTGCATTAGCTCAGATGACATTAAATGCACTAACTGATACATCTCAGACATAGCTAGGACCATCGGAGAGTTCTGTTAGTTGTACCTGCAATATAAGAATAAAAACAAAAGTGATTTATACATGACCTCAAAATTCCATTGAGCACAGCATTGAATTAAATACTATAGAATTCACTAGATCTTATACTTCAGAAGTTAAATATGATTGCTCCTCATTTCTACTGGAATATGACTCATTTCACTTATTAATCTATTGGTTCACTGAGCAATGCAGTGAAGGCAAATCTAGGTCCCACTGTCAAACTCAAATTTACCTGTACTACTCCTAGTAATTATAGTATTTGGCCCCTGCTTGAAGTACTCTATTTAATTAGAATGCAGAAAGAAGGTGACGATTCCAGGTTGCAACAATGGGGGAGCCAGATATACTCAAATATTTCACAAAAAATAGCAGTTGTCACCATCTTTATTACTGCTATTACACCTTCTGCAGTGTTTATCGGTGAACTATTTTGTGTCACTCTGGCTTGGCTCAGAAACACAGCGTAAAAGTTATCTCCATTGCATGTGTTAGCGTAAAGCGATCCGGTGAAAAACTGAGTACAGAGGCATGATTTGAAAATCATTCAAAGAAGCTGAAGAGGCCAAGGTGAATAGCAGAAAACAATTTCCACTGTGAAGTCCCAGGGAGCAAGGCCAGTGTGGAGAGTTATCAGAGCAAAATGAGAATTGGAGCCAGGAACAAAATTCCTAACCACTTTCTCCTAGTGGCAGAGCCAGGAAGGATTTCTCTGTGAATAGATGTGGCCCTACTGTCATGTTCCTTTTGAAACAGGAAGGGAATGAGATATAAGTTTAGTTAGTTCTCTCTCATTCTCTCTCTTGCCTCTCATTGCTGCTTTCCATCAGTCACAGTGAGCTGTAAACTAAATGGCAAGAGAGCTCTGCGATGTGGTTCACCGGATGGTCTACAGTGGAGAGGTAGAGATAAAAGTCAGTCTACCCGCCTGGGAATAGAGTGGAAAATGGGAGAACCCCCAGTTCACCTACATTATCTATAAATATACATTGTTCCTTACTCTTAAGTATTATTTCTACTAATGTAATAAAGGTGCTAGTATGTGACTAGCCTAAATTTAAGAAGAGTTCATTGATGGTCCCAAGTTTTCTAGGTTTCAAGTCTTTTTCTACGAAGCACTACTTTAGTTTATATGAGAAAAACTGATATTTTCATGATTCAAAATATTAAGAAATTCAGCATAAACTAAAATAAACAATGAATCCCATTGCTTCACCATTTAATTGCTTCGTGGCAGTGAAGAGGGATGGAATCTATTTCCTCAGTGGGTTCAGCATGTTTAGAGTAGGAAGAGAGTGGTGATCTATCATTTAAGTAATTTTCAGCAATGAATAATTGAACCATAGGGATTTGGCCCCTAGGATTCAAATCTGTTATAAACTCTTCCGGCCCAACCTATGGCAGGGTGCTGTCCTTGCGAAACAACACCCTTCTCTCAGGTAGGACAAGACACACCACTTTTAAATTTTGGAGTCCAGAAATAAACATTTCAGTGGATTGAAGCAACTTGAGTGGATGCTTACTCTAATAAATTGGCAAATGTCTCTATGGAAATGCTACTACTCCTCTCAGAGTAAGGTAGTTATAAATAACTGTGCAGTGAGATGGTTTTTGCATCACGCAGAGGGAGCTAGACCAAAGCAAGCAATATTCCTTCAAGAAATATCGCACACTTCCAAATGAGAAACACCCCATGGGCCTGTGGCCATAGAGTCGATGCTATCTTTGCTCCCAAGGAACTAGAGCCTTGAAGCATACTGTTATTCCAGACAAACCTGGGTCTTTCAACGTAAGGGTAGCAACCACAGCTTTCGAAGTGCTTACCACAGGCCAGACTTCCTCGGAAAAATGTACCTGAATTAACATCCTCACCAGGAGGCAGTTGGGATCATTAGCCAAATCCCACAAACAAGAAAATTAAGATGCAGAGAGTTTAATAACTTTCCCAGGTTACACAACTTGAAACTGGAGGAAAGGAGATTTTTACCCAGGAAATGGGATTGCAAACTGTCAGTAACCATTGTGCTCTGGCTCTTAATAACCGTGCTTATTGTCCCTGAATTCATGAAACCAGAAGTAAAATAAGGGAGTGCATTCAATGATCTTTGTGATTCTGCCTGCACTCACATTGCTACTCTATAATCGCAACCAATGTTTCTTATAATTTCTATACCCTTGATTTGGAAATGACCACTTTCGGGCTTATAACCGATATTAATTATTTGGAGTTAATTATGTGATGCACTTGAAGGTTCCTTCACTAATTTATTTTTACTTTGCATTGAGCCATGTGTGGCCAGGGAAATACTGGGCCAGCGGTTCATAAGCTGAGCACTTCTCAGCAGTGCGAATGGCAGGAGCACTAGGTTGCTGCCAGATCTGCTTATGTCCCTTACAAATGATTCTCTTTGAGATTTTTCCGGTTTAAACCATCTACGGTTGTATGTTCCTTTCCTCAAGAGGAAAGCTTGACGTGTTCAGTTCAATGATCTGGAATGCTCACTGCTTGCATGGCCTCATTTCCCCACAGCAGAAAATGAACAGAAATGTTAATTATTTTGAATTTTGATGAACATTTCAATACACAAAGGCATTACGAGTATCATCCTAGCAACAAAAGAGCACTTGCCAATTTGGCTATTATTGTGGTACAATTCAGTTGCACATTAATAACTCAGAAAAAATGAGAAAATACTTAGGATTTTTTTGAGTTTGGTGACTTATTTTGAACCTTACAATCTTAGCCAGTAAGTCCAAAGTCCTCATCGGCATAACTGGATAAAGCAATGGGCAATGGACCTCCTTGTGCCCAAATTATAAAGTGCTTACACAGTGTCCTGTTTCCAGGACTAATTGAGCGTTACTAAAAAGTCAGTATTGTATTATCATAACTGCAATTTGCTATCAAAGGGAACATGTCAGCTTTCCAAAAGAGTCTCTTGGTTATACTTCTTCTGCCCAAATGTAGGGAGATACACTTCATGATATCTGAAGTCCTGTCTCAGCTTTTTAGTTAGCATGGATATTGATTTACTATGATGTAAGAAAATAATATTTATACCTTAAGGGGATTATTTTGAACTTTTATTATTGAATTTAAAAAATGTTGCAAGAGTTAGCATGAAGTATAGTTACCAAATTTGATTATGGCCTGTGGACTCATTTCTCAATTTTCACATTTTTTTATTATTGCCCCTTCCTGCCCTCAAGAACTTTTGCATGCCTTACGGTTTTCCTTAAAGAACATACCTCATGGACATTTCAAAGCACCAATGTGTGTGTGTGTGTGTCTCTCTCTCTCTCTCTCTCTCTCTCTTACTTATTCCTAGCTCAGACCAAATATTCGCCCACTTTGGCAAAATATACAAATGACCAGACTTTCTGGGATAGTCTTAACATTTAAGGGAGTTTTTATGGTACGACGGTCTCCTAAGGTGGACCAGACAGGGAAAATGAAGATACATTACAGGGGAAGTAAATCCTTTGGGTTCAGTGAGCAGAGGAAAGGAGAGTTTAATTGTTTATGTACTGTACCTCGATTTCACTCCCTGAAATTTATTCGGCTGTGAAGAACACAGGTCAGTCTCATGGCTGATACATTGGATGTCAAATCAAAAAGCAGAGTGCAATGCAAAGGATTCCATTTTTTAAATAAAGCCTACATTTATTCTCATATGTTAAGGCAAATGATGAATGGAAAAATATAAAGACTTGAAAACATATGAGGTTCTTCAAATGTGAAAACTCTACTTAAGATTGTCAGAATACTTAAATCATTAAATGTATGCTCGACTGCCAAATTTTATGCCACATATACAAATTTGAGAGAAGGGGAGAAATATCAGATATTAGGGGCCAACGGATAAATGACACAAACCAGATGCATTTTGATTTTCTTTTCTTTAGGCCTTACTCAAAGCCAAAGAAACTAAGTGATGAAGCAAAACTACACTGTGGTAACCGAGTTTATTCTGCTGGGGCTGACAGACCGAGCCGAGCTGCAGCCCATCCTTTTTGTGGTCTTCTTGGTCATCTACATTGTCACCGTGATTGGGAACGTGACCATGATTCTCCTCATCAGAAGTGACTCAAAGCTCCACACCCCAATGTACTTCTTCCTCAGCCACCTCGCCTTTGTAGATCTCTGTTATGCCACCAATGTCACCCCTCAGATGCTGGTGAACTTCTTATCCAAGAGGAAAACCATTACTTTCATTGGCTGCTTTATCCAATTCCAATTTTTCATTGCTTTTGTGATCACAGATTATTATATGCTGACAGTGATGGCTTATGACCGCTATGTGGCCATCTGCAAGCCCTTGTTGTATGGCAGCAAAATGTCCAGATGTGTCTGTGTCTCTCTTGTTGCTGCCACTTACATTTATGGCTTTGCCAATGGCTTGGTCCAGACCATCCTGATGCTTCACCTGACCTTCTGTGGCCCCAATGAGATCAACCACTTCTACTGTGCCGACCCCCCGCTCCTGGTCCTCGCCTGCTCAGACACTTACATCAAGGAGACCGCCATGTTTGTGGTGGCTGGGTCCAACCTCACCTGCTCTCTCAGCATCATCCTTGTCTCCTACGTGTTCATCTTCGCAGCCATCCTGCGCATCCGCTCTGCTGAGGGCAGGCGCAAGGCCTTCTCCACCTGTGGGTCCCACCTGACGGCTGTCACCATCTTTTATGGGACTCTGTTCTGCATGTATCTGAGGCCTCCTTCTGAGGCATCCGTGGAACAAGGTAAAATTGTAGCTGTGTTTTATATTTTTGTGAGTCCAATGCTAAACCCTCTCATCTATAGCCTGAGGAACAAAGATGTTAAAAGAGCCCTAAAGAAAGTTATCCAAAAGGAATTGTCTGCTAAGTAAGGTAGTCAATGTCCCAGATACATAAAACACTTATTTCATCTAACAGTTTAGTGAGCATTGTTAGTTAGTAAATCACTTTCTTACATTAATTATTTGTGGTCTTTCATAACTCATGCATGAGACTTCCGACATATCTTTTTATTAACCTGTATTGACAGGTCCAATTCAGTGAGTGTTTCCAAAACTGAGATGAAATTCAAAGGCAAGACCCTGGCCTTGGTGTATAAATTAAATAAACAACATTTTCTGAAATCCATAGCATGTGCACCAGTAACAAATTATATGGTAATGATGATTCCTCAGTAAACTCTGAATTATTTTCCAGGAATTTCTCAACTCTGGGAGGTATTTTCCCCTTTATTCAAACTATAAAGCAATGAAAATCTTTTAGAAGTATCTCCTATTATTGCCATGTTACTTAAACAGCGTTCCCAGTCCAATGGCGTTCTCTTTCATGTGGTATTTGATGGATGTGCCGAATCTCCCACAGAGTGGTTTTGTGCTTATTTGCTAAGAGTATGGTTTTCCCATCAATATGTAACCTCTCCTCCACTCATTCATTACCATATCCTGTATTTTTAAATAAATAAAATTACTTGCTATTTTAGCCACATGCGTGTATGTACATGTGTGTATTTGTAAAACTCATTAAATAACATTTTTGCATATTGCTTATCCATTTTTGTCTTGTGACCAATGATCCTCCAGTATTTTGCCTACCTTATTATTTGATATTTATTTTTAAAATTCATTTTAGGTATTTTTTTCTAATACTGTGGATTAAACGCAGGACCCAGTACTTGCAAGGCAGGTGGGTGCCACTGAGCTAAATCCCTGGGTATTTTAGGAAAGTTTATTAAAGATGTAAAACTTATCTTATTATATATATATATATATATATGCTTATATATAAATATATGTTTTATATTTTAACTTATGATTATATAATTTGAAATATTAAGAAATGCCATTTTATGTATTTCAAATACATATTTAATTGTATTGCTTCATTGTTTTACTTTGGAAATTAAAAGATTTTTGACACATGATTAATTTGATGTTTACATTATTGTTAGTTTTTCAGGTTTAACTTGTTAGACTTTATAATGAACTATTTTCACCCTATAAAAGAATACAGAATATAAGGAAAAGCCCCTTTGTCAGCGCCAACTGCTCATGGTTGCATTTTCATACACTGTCTCACTTTTTTAGGTTTTCCAGTTGGATATGAAAAGATGGAGTCATCCCTGCCTGACTCTGTTTTCCTTCAATTTTTTGCAGCAAATTATGTTATTATTTTAATGATTCTTATCCATCTGCAGTTATATCAGTATTGTTTTGCTAGAAAAAGAGTTTATAAGACTGAAATGTCTACAATGTTTTATTTTTAATAATATTGCTAGCTGGATCCCCCTGATTAATGTAGCCATATGGCAGCAATTTTCAGTGATTATCTCAGTTTTTAAAATGTCAGCTATTAGTGCTGAATAGAGTTCAGGGAAGAAAGATTGTCTTGTCCTGCATAAAACCTAGTGCCATCATGATATTGCTATTATTCATGATAGAATTATTATGACTGACCAAAAATTACTACAGTTTTACCTCAGTTCAAATGTAAATGTGGAGGAGCGTTACATGAATGAATATGTATCTGAAATCATAAATACCATTTCTGTACGTTGTCTGTAGCAATAGTCCATGTTTAGGCACTAGTTACACCAATTAGCAATTGAGTTAATTTCATTTAAACTAACCATCCCCATGTAGTTATTCATTCAATAAGTCTTCAGTAAACATGAACTGTGCTCCCAAATGTGCAGCTCTCTACAGGGTCTATAAAGGTCAATTCTATAAAGATAAATTCAATTCAAGCATTTACAGTCGAATACAAGGATTAGAAAAGTTATAGAAGGAGATAAATACTACAAAATCAGTGGAAAGAAAAACTTCCAGGGTCACTCAGAAGCAGACGCTATTTAGGTGAAGATGTTATGAACAGAGGAATGGAAACGTTCTTGTGAATATAAAAGAAAGGGATACTTTTTAGAATTAACCCTAATATTAAATCAGTGTCATGTACATTCGCATTCACCAAAAGGTGCTTCATGCATGTGATAATACATTCGTAAGCTAATATTTTATTCATGAAGCTGTACTTCTGTAAACACCTTTAGAGGACCCTTTGATGATATTCCACAGGTGATTTGCTCAGTAAGGAGATTCCAAATACCAAGACTTGGGATATAATCTCCCCAGCTTTGTTTTGGTTGGGTACCCACAGTTTCTTTCCAGGCTGAGTCTGGCAATCTTGGAAATCAGAAGCATTCAAGAAAATAGGGTTTGGAAAAAAAAAAAAAAAGAAATAGGGTTGGGGCCTGGGATTTAGCTCAGTGGTTCTGACATCTTCCTTGTAAGTGGAAGGTCCTGCGTTCGATCCCCAGTACAAAACAAAACAAAACAAACAAACAACAACAACAAAAAAAAACAAAAAAAGAATTAGAGTTTAATTTTGGTATTTCCTCTCTTGAGCATAAACTGGAATTAGCTATGATCACAGGAATTACTGCAGTAAGACAGAACCTAGAAGAGTAGTCTGCAGCATCTCCACAAAGAGAAAAGTAATTAGTGAGGAATTGGGAGGTAGAACAGGCCCTGAAATAAACCATCTCCGCCTTGGTCACAGATCCATTTTGTGTCACACAGACCGAATTTGGAGAAGTCTTACACACTGGGTTCTAGCCAGTGGTTGGAGTACAAATAGTCTATGTATTGTACTTTTCTTTTGTCTGCTTTCTCCTAACCTAGAGAGTTAGAATTCACCTTAGAATACATTCTCACTTTATAGGTCTTTGATGGTTAAGGAAAAAGTGTCAGGAGATTTGGGTGGGAAAAAAGGTCAAGAAAAAAATGGCAAACAACTCTCCTCTTTCATTGCAACGAGCTTCTCCAAGGTTGCTGTCTGGGTCAGGCTCACTGAAAGATGATGCACGGTGTACACAAGATGATCAAGGCCGGTGTGCTGTGGTTTGCACTGTGCTTATGGTCTCTCTGCACCGTGTAAGATTCTGTAGGGCCTCAGACACTCTGCTATCTTCTGCCTGCACTGTTCATGAAGCTGTAATTCTTTCCTAACTTGAGAATATTTGGAATTACCTTTATTAATTCTGCTATCTAAATTGGAGTGATTTCATAATGTAATATTATCCTTTTTGGTAATCTTGCTATTCTGCCCCTTCTCTTACCCACTTTCTTCCTGGAGGGACTCTTGACATCGTGATTACGGGATGTGATGTCCTCCTGAAAGTCCTGTGCGCGACAAAATGTCTGTATTCCTGGGACTCAGAATACAGTTAATGGGAATGGTAACCAATTATCCTTCTCTCCCAGAGGTTCCTCATCAGCACATAAATTCAACTATAATTAGAGCAAATTGTACTTTCACAAGTTGTGTTTTCTCCTATGTACCCATACATCAAATCGTGGGCTGCATTAAATAAACAGTGGGATAGTGTCTTTCTTAAGAACATTTTCTCCCTTTTCTGGAGTGCAAAAGACTTTTGGTAAAATTGTGAAGGCACTTAGAAAGATTCTCTTTCCAAACTTCTTGGGCCAACAGAATATTATGGTGACAGTGGGACTTTTTTTAAATCTTAGGGTTTACAGAGGAAAATTTTATATGCACTGATGACAGTGATTTGTAAACTTGGTGAGGAATTTATAGCAATATCTTTTTAATACACTATAAGGGAAAAGTTCCAGTTATCTGAAGTTAAAATTCATCTGATTTTTTAAAAAGGGAAATGATCTCTTTAGTTAATTTGCATAGTCTACTTCAGTTGTTAGTTGTTGGTCATACATAACATTAGCATGGAAACATATTAAAATATCACACAATATGTGTGCCCTCTCTGCACTGGGTAGGACTCAACTGCAGGTGCTTTGAAAGCTTCACATCTGGTCCTAAAGTGAAACAAGGGTTTAAATGTGAGTATACAATAATAATAAAACAATATCGTAGCTCTACTTAGAAGATATGAATTGTCTGTTTCCTCCTACATTTATACATTTTGCTGTAATGACTCAAGATAGCTCATCTTCTGTCCAGGGTCAAATTGCAGCTATTTTGTAACGTGACATTCTACCAGTTTTAGCAATTAATTACATAAACTTTAGAACAAGGATCACTAAAGCTTAGTCTTTAAAAATTTAAACAATTATCTAGCTGATCACTCTGTCTCTAATTGTGCTTTCTCTTATACATTATTCGAGTAGGTGGCCAGTGTTTTGTGTTAGTAACCCAGTGTCTGATGCTAACACCAGAACCTTGAGAAATGAGCTGAAGGGTTCAAGAAAGTGACCTCATTGATTCCGTCATTCACTGAATTGGTCCTTAATGTGTTTGCACTATCTCAGCATTTGTCCTGTTCTGGGGCTATAACACCAATAAAGTTCTTACCTTCATGTGGCTACTGTTCTAATAGGAGAGACAGAGAAAGAACTTGAATAATTTAATAGTGATACTTGCTAAGAGGAAAAAATAAATCACGATGCATGCTGAAAGACTTATTTGGAATGGAGCTGACTAAGCAGCCAGGGAAAGTCAGTCATGGGAGGCATTCTTAAAAGACAGATCTCAGTAAGTTGAGTGCTGTCAATGAATC